CTTCATTAAGTACTTATACAAAATTTTATTAAAATAAAACCATTTAAACTGGGTGTTCGGATTTATATGTCACTTAGTATACGTATATTTAAATTTTCAATAATTTCAAAAAATACACATACAGCTTCGGATTCTTGATAGATTGTGAGTTCATTTCTGAAAAAATGAGTATAGAGAGCACAAAACCTTGAGAACGCTGAAAATTTTGGAAACTTTTATAGAACAAGTCATTGAGTTTTTTAGATATCTGTATTTATTAATATTGAAAATTTTTAAAATTTTATAAATCTTGAAAATATTGAGATTTTTGAAATTATTGAAAATTTTGGAGAGAAAGTCGAGCACTAAAGGCCGACCAAAATCTGGTTTAGCTTATAGAATTGACACATGCAGCACAAATGAAATTAAGAGAGGAGGCAAATGTATATAACCGCTGATTGTGTCTTCCAAACATTAATGTTTATGTTTATATTTCTTATGTTTGAAATATATTTCTGTTTTATCAAGAATCTCCTATAAAACATTATATCAACTTATTTCATCCGATGCCATATTGGATACGCCATATCGAATTTCTCTTTTTTGCAGCAGATTTGAAATCAGCAACTTCAAGAACTCCTCTGTGCCAAATTTTGTGAGGATGGTACAGTTTTTTTTGTGTTCAGCTACCTTACATCGAGTGATAATACGAACAGACATCTCAACGATGAAACTGTACATTGCAATATTAATTATAGTTCTCGTTTGCACAAATGTTATTAACTTTAATGTTCCTATTATCGTTCATGTCAGTTTATGGAGTGTGTATTTTTCTAATAACTGTATTGTAGCTATACATCACGGAGCTAATTGAATATCCTTTCAGTGACACAACGTATCATGCATTGTGTACAAAATGGAGATTGCTATGATGCTGAATTGCTAACAAATCAATTTTCATCGGAATAATACGCACCGAATGTTTAATCAGCTGGTGTTTTTGAATTGAGGTAAATTTAGATCAATGTTCGAATAAATGCTGCAATGACGTGGTATATTCAGCCAAATCTAGTTTTTAGAACAGCCTGGGATTAACTGAAACTAAAATGGTCGTTACTGATTCAAATTACGATGGGCTGCGTTTGGATCTATTAGTTTTGTTAATATCCGCTTTAGTTAGAGCAGTGCTGAATTTGTTGCAGCACAGCGGCCATCAGAGTTTTGATGGAAAAAGGTGCCAAGTAGATCGACTCCACACTTTTTCATGTAAAGCAATAGCGTCCAAAAGATTTGTCAGAACCATTGTCTTAGAAGTCTTATCAAACTTTGTCAGTAAGCTTAAGATTTTTGTATTCGCGATGTATTACCGATTACCTACCGTTTACCAGATTGACAGATGACAGAACTAGAAATGTTTTTGAGGTGAATATAGTGATGTCTTTAAACGATGCATCATCATCTGGTGGCCAATTAATAAGTTAAGATGGAATGTTCGCGATAAATCTTTACACGATTCCTTTCAAGGCAATGGTGATTAAAAAATACAGATATCTAAAAAATTCAATGACTTGTTCTATAAAAGTTTCCAAAATTTTCAACGTCGTCAAGCTTTTGTGCTTTCTATACTCATTTTTTTCGGAAATTAACCCACAATTTATCAAAAATCCGAAGCTGTATTTGTAATTTTTGAAATTATTGGAAATTTGGAAAATTTCAAAAAATGTTATACTTAGAAAAGTTTTTTATTTTGAAAATTGTGAAATTCTTGAAAATTTTGATATTTTTTAAATTTTTGTGAATTTTGAAGATATTGACAATTTTCAATATTTTGAAAATATTGAAAATTTTGTGAATTTTGAGAATCTTGAATGTTTCAGATATTTTAAAAAAGTTGAGAATTCAGAATATTCTTAAAATTTCCATAATTTTAATAATGTGTATTTTAAAAACAACGAAAATTTTGAAAATTCTGATAATCTTGAGGATTTTGGAAATATTGAACATTTTAAAAATTTTAAAACATGAAAATATTGGAAATTTTTGAAATTTAGAAATTTTTGAAAACTGAATTTTGAAGATATTGAAAATTTTCAATATTTTGAAAATACAGAAAATTTTGTGAATTTTGAGAATCTTGAATGTCTCGGGAATTTCAAAAACGTTGAGAATTCTGAATATTCTCTAAATTTCCAAAAATGTTATACTTAGAAAATCCTTTGATTTTGAATATTTTGAAACTCTTGAAAATTTTGGAAATTTTGAATTTTTTTAAAATTTTGTGAATTTTGAAGATATTGAAAGTTTTCAATATATTGATATTTTGTGAATTTTGAGAATCTTGAATGTCCCGGGGATTTTGAAAACTTTGGGAATTACGAATATTCTCAAAAATTCCATAATTTTAATAATGTCGAATATCTTAAAAACAATGAAAATTTTGAAAATTCTGAGAATCTTGAGGATCCTGGAAATATTGAACATTTTCAAAATTTTCAAACAAAAATATTGAAAATTTTGGAAATTTTGAAATTTTTTAAAACTGTAAATTTTGATGATATTGAAAATTTTCAATATTTTGAAAATACTGAAAATTTTGTGAATTTTGAGAATCTGGAATGCCTCGGGAATTTTAAAAACGTTGAGAATTCTGAATATTCTCAAAATTTCCATAATTTTAATAATGTTGAATATTTTAAAAACAACGAAAATTTCGAAAATTCTGAGAATCTTGAGGGTTTTGGAAATATTGAACATTTTCAACATTTTTAAACATGAAAATATTGAAAATTTTGGAAAATTTGAAATTGTTTAAGACTGAGTTTTGAAGATATTGAAAATTTTCAATATTTTGAAAATACTGAAAATTTTGTGAATTTTGAGAATCTTGAATGTCTCGGGAATTTTAAAAACGTTGAGAATTCTGAATATTCTCTGAATTTCCAAAAATGTTATACTTAGAAAATTCTTTGATTGTGAAAATTTTGAAATTCTACAAAAATTTGGGAATTTTGAAATTTTTTAAAACTATAAATTTTGAAGATATTGAAAATTTTCAATAATTTAAAAATACTGAAACATTTGTGAATTTTGAGAATCTGGAATGCCCCGGGAATTTTGAAAACGTTGAGAATTCTGAATATTCTCATAATTTCCATAATTTTATTAATGTTGAATATTTTAAAAACAACGAAAATTTCGAAAATTCTGAGAATCTTGAGGATTTTGGAAATATTGGACATTTTCAAAACTTTGAAACATGAAAATATTGAAAATTTTGAAAAAAATTTGAAATTGTTTAAAACTGAATTTTGAACATATTGAAAATTTCCAATATTTCGAAAATACTGAAACTCTTGTGAATTTTGAGAATCTTGAATGTCTCAGGAATTTTAAAAACGTTGAGAATTCTAAATATTCTCAAAAATTCCATAATTTTAATAATGAGTATTTTAAATACAATGAAAACTTTGAAAATTCTGAGGTTTTCGACGAGTTTGGAAATATTGAACATTTTCAAAATTTTGAAACACGAAAATTTTCAATATTTTCATATTTCAAAATTTTGAAAATGTTTAATATTCTCAAAATCCTCAAGACTCTCAGAATTTTCAAAATTTTCATTGTTTTTAGAATATTCAACATTATTAAAATTATGGAAATTTTGAGAATATTCAGAATTCTCAACGTTTTCAAAATTCCCGGGACATTCAAGATTCTCAAAATTCACAAAATATTCAATATTTTCACAATTTCCAAAATTTTCAAGAATTTCATAATTTTTAAAAACAAAAACACGAAACTCTTGAAAATCTTGAAAATTTTGGAAATTTAGAGAAGTTGCATATTTTTGAAATCTCGACAATTTTGAAAATATTGAAAATTTTCAATATCCTCAAAATTCACAATTTTTAAACATTTAAAAATTTCCAAAATTTTCAATATTTTCATATTTAAAAATTTTAAAAATGTTTAATATTCTCAAAATCCTCAAGACTCTCAGAATTTTCAAAATTTTCATTGGTTTTAGAATATTCAACATTATTAAAATCATGGAAATTTTGAGAATATTCCGAATTCTCAACGTTTCCAAAATTCCCGGGACATTCAAGATTCTCAAAACTCACTAAATATTCTATATTCTCAAAATTTCCATAATTTTCAAGAATTTCAAAATTTTAAAAACAAAAACACGAAACTCTTGAAAATCTTGAAAATTTTGGAAATTTTGAGAAGTTGCATATTTTTGAAATCTCGACAATTTTGAAAATATTGAAAATTTTCAATATCCTCAAAATTCACAGTTTTTAACATTTAAAAATTTCCAAAATTTTCAATATTTTCATATTTCAAAATTTTGAATATGTGTAATATTCTCAAAATCCTCAAGAATCCCAGAATTTTCAAAATTTTCATTGTTTTTAGAATATTCAACATTATTAAAATCATGGAAATTTTGAGAATATTCAGAATTCTCAACGTTTTCAAAATTCCCGGGACATTCAAGATTCTCAAAATTCACAAAATATTCAATATCTTCAAAATTTCCAAAATTTTCAATAATTTCAAAATTTTTAAAATTAATAACACGAAACTCTTGAAAATCTTGCAAATTTTGGAAGTTTTGAGAAGTTCAATATTTTTTAAATGTCGACAATTTTGAAAATAATGAAAAGTTTGGAAATTTTGGAAATTCTGAGAATTTTGAGGTTTGGATATTTTTTAAACTCTAAGAATTTTGGCATTTAGGCTTCTACCTGCGCGACTGCTTCGGCGTAAGAGAAACTTTCCAAAAAGCTGTATTCTGAAAATCTCTAGAAGACATACGAAAAGCCTTAAAGATGTTTATTTTATGCCTTGTCGGGGTACTCGTAAAACGTCGCACCAAAGTTATTTTAAAAACGTATTTTCTTTAAGGGTGACTTATTTGCAAGCTAGTAATAAAACAAAAAGATACTATACCTAATCAATTTATTCTTCTATATTTAAAGAGCTGTTTTACACTTCGACCTAAATTCCTACTCTCATCCCATAATAGGCAAATCACTGATTGCTGGGCCGTACCATGCCTCTCGCAGGCTGTTTAATAAACGATAACCGAAAGCTGTACCAACAATTGACAACGCTATATTGCTACAAAAGCAAAACAAAGTAACTGCTAATATACTTTTCCTGCTGGCATAGAAGAGATCGAAGCATCCTACATTATTCAATTTGCCGTACTTGTTTTTGCAAGACTTGGGAATTGTTTTATTCTTCGCTGTCCAATACTCGGCATCGTCAATACCACAGCACTGCCAGTACTCTTGAACCCAATCTGTGACGTCTGTTTTTCTATCGGCAAATTTTTCCTCCAAGTAGGTTCTGGTGTCCTCAAGATCGACGATGTCAGCTAGGATATGGTAAGTGCAGTATAACTGGTATACTACTAGAACGGTCATTCCTGTGGTGTACACAGCTATCATCCTCGCCTTGAGCCAATCATTGGGTACGGTAGAACCCAAAATACCTACAACTGCCAAACCTAACAGAACAATGCATTCCACGAACGAAAATTCGACCTCTCGCTTATCGTCAGCCCCGATTGTCTTGTTCGAAATTCTCAATACCGCGTAGTGCACTTGCAAGCATGAGATGATGATTATGGCGATACTTATGCCTAGCACTATCCATCTTGCTGCAGAAACGAGCCTACACGGCCGACACATCTTGGATTTAATCGCTTGAACTAGCTGCAGGCTGTAGACTTACTGTAATTATTGCCGTAAATCAATCTAAATTCCCTGCCAGTATATGACACTGACACTATTGACACGTCTGTCAAGTTGACGTGTCGCGTTAGGGTAGCTTCATAGAGAGCTGCTTTCCAGTGACTTTGATGAGTTACTCTGAGTATTAGTAGAGACATTTCCTCATAAAATATGTTTAATCCCTCGCTGATTTTTTTACCTACAACGTTGTTTTGGGAAATAACAGGGTCTTGAGGACTACCCACAGGCAACCAGTGTTGCTTCGTATGTAGGTTCGGTTGCGAACTTTTCACCTCTGAACGCCTTTGCCAGGTTTTGGGGATTGTAGGTAGAATATTAGATAGTTTGGTTTGGGAATCGGAGTTACTCATTCTTTATTATTATTTTTGGCATCGAATCTGTGGAACACATTTCTACTTTTGAAATTGATTGACAGTCAACTGATTGACTGACGGAAGACGGGCGATTTCGAGTATGTCATATTTCCTGTTTTTTTTTTTTTTTTTTTTTTTTTATATCGAAACAGCCGCGCAGGCAGAGCCTAAATGCCGGAACACCGCGGCTGCTATGATGATCCCAAAGAAATTTTGTTAATACGATTTTTGAACTGCCTAAGGTTAGTAGAACTGGGAAAAGCTTCCTCCCGTAGTTTGTTCCACAATCTAGACACCCTCGGGACCAAGGAGCGGTCGTATCGGCCAGTTCTGGATGTACGAAGGTTGACACGGTTAGGATGGGACGACGAAGTCAGGCGGGTCTGTCTGGCAGGCACATCGCGCGGCGGCATCATGGAAGAGAGCTCTGAGGAGCAAAGCCCGTTGGTGTAGCGATAGAAAAGAGCTAGATCGCCGACGGCCCGCCGGTGCGAAAGAGTCCCGAGACTGTCTGTTAGAGAAGAGTCATCGATCAGTCGGACCGCCCTCCTCTGGACAGCATCGAGCATGGACAATGTAGTCGGGGCGGCAGCACCCCAAATGTGTGAGCAATACTTGAGGCTAGGCCTTATCTGGGCCTTGTATAGAGTGAGAAGGTCATGCGGAGAAAAGTACTTCTTAGCCCTAAACAAATAGCCTAGCTTTTTCCCAGCAGCTGCAGCTATTGACGAGATGTGTTCGTGCCAGATCAGGTCCTCGGTGATCTGGACTCCGACCAGCCAAAATGAATAGCTCTTTGGTAGAACTCGGCCGTCCATCGAAACTGTATGAGCGCTAGGACGCTTTTTGTTCGTCAAAGTACAGTACTGTGTTTTGGAAGCATTGAACTGTACAAGATTGTTGCGTCCCCAAGTAGTGATAGCCTCCAGGTCTCTTGTCAGAGAAGAAGTCGTCGCTAGTCTTCTTTTTTCGAGCTCAGCGGCAGAGATCGGCTTGTCACTCTGAATTCCTGCATGTAGAGTGCTGTCATCAGCGAAGCTGTGGATTGGGTTGATCGTGCAGGAAAGGAGGTCGTTGATATGTAAAAGAAACAGTGTTGGAGCCAAGACCGATCCCTGGGGAACACCCGCGTTGACGTTGTGGGATGAAGAGGAGAATCCGTCAATTACGACGGATATCTTGCGGCCAGAGATAAAGTCAGCCACCCATCTGCAAAGCTTTTCTGGGAGGCCGTAGGATGGAAGTTTGCTCAAGAGGGCAGCGTGCCACAGCTGATCGAACGCTTTCGTGATGTCAAGAGCAACGACATGAGCCTCACCATGAGACTGGATGAGTTTACTCCACAGTTGCGTGACGTAAGCTAGGAGGTCCCCTGTGGATCGTTGGTGCCGGAAACCGTACTGCCTGTCGCTAATCAAGCTGTGACGTTCGAGGTAGTCCAGAAGCTCGCGATTTATGCACCTCTCCATCACTTTACTGATAACAGAAAGCAGAGCTATAGGCCTGTAGTTTTAAGGGTCGGTTTTAGATCCTTGTTTTGGGATGGGCTGTACATGAGCAAATTTCTAGTTTTCTGGGAAGGTGCCGGAATAAGATATCTGGAAGAGACGCGAAAGAACTGGAGCAAGCTCAGCTGCACATCTCTTCAGTACAATGGCAGGAGTCAAGTCCGGACCAGAAGCTTTGTTGATGTCGAGCGACAAGAGCACTCGTCTTACGGTCTTATGCCTGAATGTTACCTCCCGCATAGTGTGGGGAACCCTTTGAATTGACGGCACTTGGGCGTTGGTGGGGACGTCCATGGTGGAGTTGGCAGCAAAGATCTTGGCTAGCACTTCCGCCTTGGCCTTTGAGTCGAATACAATAGTTCTATCCTGACACGTAAGTGGTGGAATGCTACTGTGTGAGAAGTTCTTTCCAATCTGCTTGGCCAGCGTCCAGAAAGACCGACTGCCATTGCGCTGCGACATTACCCTGTGCCTAACTTTTATATCATGTTGGGTTTTGGCATTGCGAACCGCTTCGTTATATTTGTTTCTGGACTCGACGTCGGCTTGTCTGTTCTCTACAGTGGGGTTTTGTAAGTAGGTTCTGTGGGCCTTGATCTTCTGCTGGCGAGCAGTGTCACACGATTTGTTGAACCAGCCGTTGGACCCTGGTTTAGGAACTTTCACTGTGTGAGGGATGTATTCCTCCATTCCGACGTAGATAATTTCGGTTATTGAAGAACAGACAGTCGACGCATCCGCGTCAGTGAAACAGACATCTCTCCAAGGAAAGCTAGAGAAGAAGTCTCTGAGCCCCTCCCAGTCGGCATGTCCGTAATGCCAAGTTTTGCGGCCTGTGTGAGTTTCTGCTGCCACAGCGGCTTCTGACCGAAACCTAACCTCCACAACACCGTGATCTGAGTTACCCAGGGGGGACAGGACGGCAGTGCTGTAAGGGGCAGGATGCGTGGTCAGAAAGAGATCCAGCAGGCTACTGGCGTGTGACGAGACGCGGGGGAAAAAAGTAGGGCTCGTCACCAGCTGGGTCAGCCCTTGAGTAAGAGCGAACGCTTCGACTGCACGACCGGCTGCATCGGTCTTATTTGAGCCCAACCAAAGCTCATTATGGGCATTGAAGTCACCGAGAAGAACTACCTCTGAAGCGGGGTGATTGATATTCAGGAAGTCGATCTGGACGGCGAGGTATTCGAGTAGGTCATCCCAGTTATGGTTCGAGGGAGAGCGATAAAGGCAGCAAATAAATTTGGGTGATGTTTTGGAGTTGAGGCGAAGCCACAGAATGTCCTTCCGGTCTGATTCCAAAGAAAGATCCCTGGAGCAGGAAAGACTACTGCGGACAAAAGCCACAACTCCCCCGTTCTTTCTCAGATTGGAGTGCACCTCGTAGTTTGGGAAGCTGAGATGGTTAATCGGTGCAGCCTCTGAGATTTTTGTCTCCGCCAAGAAAAGCACGGCGGGACGATTGGATTGCAGGTAGTGATGAACAGCATCAATGTTGCTGTTGATCCCGCAGATGTTCGAAAAACAAATTTTATCTTCGATGTTGTTCCCTCGAGCCCACCCTCCACCCGGACCTTCCGAGAGTGGAGTGAGTTTACGTCCGGAGTTTTTAGTGCTCGAGGGATCCATCATCATTAATTTCTTTGTTTTGGTAGAAAACCGACTGCATAGCTTAGGTGTGGAAACATGCGGACATTTATAAGACACCCTGGGAAAAGCTAGCGGGTGGTACTGCCTCGGTCGACTGGTCCTTGTCTACCACCTTCTTTTTACGTATTAGTGATGTTAAATAGACCTAAAGTGGCCCGTTGGCGGAATTGTACCGCCACCCGGCAATCGGTACTGAGGTATTCCTTAACGCGTGCGCAATCACTTGGACGGGAAGAAGTTGTATACTGGATACAACGACTTCCGGAACAAGCATTTGCCACGGCCCTCGCTCAGTAGGGGGGGGGTGTTGAAGTTTTGGTCAATTTGTGCGTGAGTCCTTCATTTAGTTTCGATATTTCGGGGTATTGGGCCCTAATGATCAGTTTATGGAGTAGCACCTTTTTTATATCTACCTTAAGTTTAGTTGTTTGTTTTGGGAGAGAATCTCTCCAGTTTTTATGGGATTTCAACATCTTCAGCCTAGGAAGTTATTGAGGAAAATAACCATCTGCACTCCTGCAGCTTTGTAGCTGTTTTGTACCCGATTTCGATAAAACCACTCCTTTCAAAGAAAAGGATGTGGCAAATAACATCCAAAAGAGGTAGGACGAAAGATGATGAAGGTTAGCATGGGAATGCCGCAGAGCTCCGTTCTGGGGCCTTTACTTTGGATCGTGTTATATACTGTCGACCTAGAGATGATAGTTACTAGCAAGGAGGGAGACGCACTTGAAGGACTCTTGACACACGAAACAACGAGAGTTACCACTTGGATGGAAGAAAATGGCTTGAAATTGGCTTCTAATAAGGCAGACAAAAGCTAACTTCATTAGCTCATAATTCCGAGATTCGGGGCCAAAATGCAATCAAGTATCTAGATGTGTGCCTTGACAAAGATATGGAGATGACAAGACGTACCACTGACAAGGTCAATCAGGTCGTTGCGTCACTTATACGGTTAAAGCCGCCTGACGGAGGCCCCGGTAGGGAGAGGCGCAGGATTTTGGCAGAAGTCGTAAACATGGCTCCTATATATAACAAGGCCCAAATGAAAAATAAATATAGACAGCTAATATAGAGGGTGGCGCATCGAAAACGAAACAGACGCATTTACTGGCAGTTAATTTTTTTTTTAAAACGCTCAGACCCGTCGATTTTGTTTTCGAGGAGGACACAAGTTTGGCAAAAAATCACGTTAACACGTGCAGCCCCCTGGGCGGGGGTGACACCAACCCTAAAATCTTAAATGGAAAGGGGGGTCGAGTGATACCTTATTTTAAAGGTCTTTCAATTCCCTTTATTTTGGGGGTGGTGTCACCCCGCTTAGGGGGCTGCACGTGCTAACGTGATTGTTTTGCCAAACTTGTATCCCCCTCGAGCTGCAAGTAAATGCGTCTGTTTCGTTTTCGATGTACCACCCTGTATA